TAAAGATCCCTTGGTGGTCTAAAATCGATAAGAGTAGGCTTCGGCCGCCACCCGGGCAAAATTAAAAATTTCCTACCAACTGAAAATATTAGGAGTGTCCCGCGCGCTCATATGACCTATGCAGTTGCGAGCGCTGTAAAACACTTTACAAAAACAAACAAAAAAACATATAATGTCTTTATCTTTCCTCCTTCTTTTCTTTGTATGTTACTCTCAAGTAATGCTTCTAATCTACGGCACTTATATGACCTGTTTGTGTTGTAACTGCAATAGAACTTTTACTAAAAGTCGAAACTCAAACTCTGGCCACTGGATCACAGCTTCAGACTCTCTGTGTTTAAATTTAAGCTTGGCACCAACCAAGCACAAAGGATAAATTAAGTGGATGGCTGGCGGGTGCTCTGGTGTGGTTTGTTCCTTCTTTCCTATCAAGTACTTGATCTCCTTTTTTTGTGTTTGTTACTGTCTTATAAAGCCTCTACTCTTCGGCACTTATATGACTGTAGAGTGTTGCAAGGTGCCATAAAACTCTTACACCCCCCAGGGCAGTGTTACTGACTGAAGTGTTTTTAGGCCATTCCCAAAGGGGGGATATTAACATGTTTTTATGCACAGTAGAATTGTAAATTGGCTGATTTATCAATGCTGGAACAACAAACGGGGAACTCCTGCCTTGTCTTTCCTCATCCTTACTAATGTAATTTTCCTCTACTTATTTTGTATGTTTGTCATTCTCTTCTGAACTGCTATTTCCGGGGTGCCTTGATAGTCAAAGCAGACTTTGTGCTGTTGAGGCTAGGGAGATGAGCAGAGTAAGCCTGATTCCCCCTTTGGACTTCTCTGTTGACATCCACCCCTTGGTGCTCATATAACCGTATGCAGTTGCGAGTGCGATAAAACCATTCTAAAACAAAAAACCCCTCTAATTAGAACTTTTAAAACATTTTAAAATCCAGCTCGGATCAGAGCTGCTTGTTTTTTTTTTCACTACTTGGGGAATGTTGTCTCTCCAGAGGGCGACTCGGCGACTGTTCTGGGCCAGGGTCTGTCGGAGCGAGTGGAGCAGGAGAAGCTCCACCACATGCAGGGCGGCCTGCCCAGGAACGCCTTTGAGGAAATGATTGAGTGGACCAGGGAGGGGAAGATGTGGACCTTCCCCGTGGACAACGAAGCAGGTCAGAGATCAAATCTTTTGCCTTGTTCAAATGTCAGCTCATGTCATTTTTGGTTTGTTTGTTATTCAGAGTAATTAGCGTGTTTGGTTGGGTGGTGCGCTGGTGTAGTTTGCTCTTTCTTTTCTATCTATTATCTATCGTCGTTATCTCCCCTCCTTCTTTTTTGAGTTTGTTAATCTATTGTAGCATCTTTACTCTAATCTTTGATGACTTATTTGTGTTGCAAGTGCCGGGAAACTCTCATTAAAACTAAGAGTAATGAGATACATTGTGGAGTTTGCCTAAACCAAAATCTGCGGAACTGCCAGATTTTATTTGATTTAGCAGGGTTTTCGGTTTAGAGAGGTGGTTTACCCCTGATTTTGGATTAACCGTATTTGGTTTTAGCAGATTCTACTGTATACAGATTTTTAGTCAGAATACAATGTACCGTTTATGTGTCACTATTTGTTTGTGTAAAGCTCTGAGAGCCTGTGAGTGAGTTGTTGGCGTGTGCTCCGGTGTGGTTTACTCCGTCTTTCCGATCAAACATCTACCATCCTCATGTCTCCTCCTTCTTTTTTATGTTTGTCAATCTCTTGTAACACTTCTATTTTTGAGGAATTATATGACCTTAATAGGTTGCAAGTGCCGTAAAACACCTTAATAGGTTGCAAGTGCCGTAAAAACAAACTTACCAAAACAAAAACTGTTTCAGACATGTGGGAGGAGCGACAGTACAAGTTCCACCAGCACGTGTTCCTGGATGGTGACCTTGAGCAGTTCCCGGCCCGCGGGCCAGTGAGAAAGTTTATGGAGCTGGTGGTGCTCGGCCTGAGCCAGAACCCGTGGATGTCTGTTCCCGAGAAACGTGGACACATTGCCTGGTTCGCCGAATACTTCCGGGAGAAACAGGACCTGCTGGAATCTTCTCTGGGCCTGGAGGGGAGGATGAAAGAGAAGGAGGGAGTGAAGGAAGGAGAGTAGGGAGGGGATAGGTGGGAGGAGGGTGTGAAGGAGAGAGGGGATACGTGGAGTGGGAGAAGGAGGAAGTGGAGGAGGGGATGGGTGGGAGAAGGAGAAAGGGAAGGAGGGAGAGTAGGGAGATGGATGGAAAGATGAAAGGGATTGAGGGAGGTGTTGGGTCGGAGAAGAAAGGAGTGAAGGAGGGAGAGTAAGGAGGGGATTGGTGGGAAGATGAAATAGAGAGACAGGGAAAAGATAGAGAGAGACATGGTCAGGGAAAAGACGGAGAGGTATCTTTGTACGGGAAATTGTGGAAATGTTCATGGAGTGTGTATCAAAATGTAGTCAAACAATATCTTATTTTGAGAACTTGTGATGCCTGTTGTGTGATAAATTTGTTCAGTCCTTATTATAAATGAAAGTTGGTTCTGAAGGAATAAATTGTGAGATTGTCTGAAAAATGATTTGTCTCAATTATTTTTTTTCAGTATCGTGGCCATCATTCATCGTTGTCCTTTTTTTTGGGGGGGGGGGGGGGGGGGGGGGGTTGATAAGTGTTTTTATGGCGCTCGCATTGCATAAGGTCATATGAGCGTGCGGGACACATTAAACATTTTCAGTTGGTAGGAAATTTTGAATTTTGTCTTGGTGGCGGCCGAAGCCAACTCTTATCGATTTTAGACCACCATGGGATCTGTAACATGCGCAACTTACACACGGGACCTCTAAGATTTTTTGGCAGGCTTGGTGTAGATCTTTCCTACCAGAAGATCAGGCGTGTGGCTGAAAGACAGCAGTAAGAAGGAGCCTGGGAGAAGCAGTGGAAAGGCTGCAGAAAGAGTCAGGAGCTCAGAGGAAGGGGCAAAGGAGGTGAGGGGGTGGGATGGAAGGTGGAGACGAAAGTAGATGACAGAATATTGCTAGAGAGCAGGAAAGGAGGTGACAGGAGACAATTTTAGAGAAAAAATTTTTCGGTGGCTACCCGGATTCGAACCCGGGACCTTTGAATGAGAGGCGAACACCTTAACCTCTAGGTCACGAGAGCCCCCTCATCATTGTCCTTTGTGAAAATATGTACCAGGTTTTCAGGAGAAGCCGAAAACTATTTTACTTTGAGCAGGTCACAATGTTAAAACATAATGAATGGTAAATAATGTTTAATTAGTCTTTTAAATTCGTTACTATTTTAAGAACAGGAATGGGATAGGGACCAATCGATTTGCCTCATCAAACTCTACAAATTATATAATTTTTCAGTAAAAAAAAATTGGCACTCTACAATTTTGAAAGTCAGTGTTCGTATTGTGCCTAGCTTTATTTGGGATGTATCTTATGTGGGTTGTTGGAGGGTGTCACTGGAAGATTCAACTTCTTTTCTTTCCCTCTGTTGTTTCTATCTGTGTGGGTGGTTGGAGGGTGTCACTGGAAGGTCCTACTTCTTTTCTTTCCCTCTGTTGTTTCTGTCTGTGTGGTACACATGTAAGTGTAAGTGTTTTACGGCGCTCACAACTTCATAAGGTCATATGAGCGCGCAGGACACATTTAACTTTTTCAGTTGGTAGGAAATTTGAATTTTGCCAGGGTAGCGGCGGAAGCCTACTCTTATCGATTTTAGACCACCAAGGGGTCTTGAACGTGGGCAACTTGCACACCGGTCCTCCGAGATTTTTTCCCCCTGTCCGAGAAGGCTAGGCGTAGATCTTTCCTACCAGAAGATCGGGGGTGTGGCTGAAAGACAGCAGTAAGAAAGAGCCAAGGAGTAGCAGTAAAAAAGCTGCAGAAAGAGTCAGGAGCCCTGCCCAGAGTAGGGGGCAAAGGAGGTAAGGGGGTGGGGGAAAAAAGAGGAGACGAAAGCAGACGACAGATCATTGCCAAAGAGCAGGAAAAGAGACAATTTTACAGAAGAAAAATTTTCAGTCGCTACCCAGATTTGAACCCAGGACCTTTGAATGAGAGGCCAACACCCTAACCTCTAGGCTATATATGAGAGCCCCCATGTGGTAGGTTAGCAGGCGCCACGGGAAGGTCTTACTTTTTTTCTTTCCCGTTGTTGTTTTTGTCTGCGTGGGTGGTTGAAGGGTGCCATTGTGGTAGGTCCTACATCTTTTTCCCCCCTGTTTTTTCTGTATCTGAGGTTTGTTGGAGGGTGTCACTGGTCGAACCTTCTTTTTTTTCTCTCTGTTGTTTCTGTCTGCCTGTCTTACTTGTCCCCAGCAGTAAATGACCTTTATTATGTCGATGTGCTTCTCTTGACTTGCAACAATCATGATGAACCTAGTGTTCATTTCCCTTTGTCCGTCCTGAACTTGGACTTGGTGTGCTGGGAGATTTCACTGTGGTCCATCTATAGAAACTCTCATGTCTCTGGACGTCATGTTTGCTCGTAAAAAAAAGTAAGGCCTGAAGGTACATCTATGATTTATTTTGTAAAAGTAAGACCTAAAGATTCATTTATTATCTAATACGTAAAAGTAATCCAAAAGATACATCTATGATCTACTCTGTAAAAGTAATACCTAAAGATATGGGTGGTTAGTTGGTGCTCTAGTGTGGTATACTCCTTCTTTCCTGTCAAACATCTGTCGCCCTTTATCTCTCCTACTTTTTTGTGTTTGTTACTCTCTTGCAAAACCTACAATCTTTGGTATTTATTAGACTTGACAGTGTTGCGAGTGTCCCAAAACTAAAAACGCTTACTAAAACTACACACTCAGTCTCAGACCAGGAGGTCTCACTGTGATCCATACCTAGAGACCCTCATGTCTTTAGAGATGTCGCGGTCACGCGTGTAAAGGTAGCTCTAACTCTAAAGATACATCTATGATCTTGTCTGTCAAAGTAAGACCTGAAGATACATCTATAATCTTGGCTAAAAAAAAATTTGCACAACGAAGTGGCTTTGACATTGAAATTCCTTTAATAAATTAGAGACAGAGCCAACTGTACATTCTTCAAGTTCCCGATCATTTGTTGGATGAATAACAAGTACAGGTAATATTGGGTACAAGTAAATACATTACTTATATATTATACATATATATATATATATTTGAGGGGAGGACACGTCTCCGTATTTTCCCAAATCCACACAGGTCCGATCACTTTAGAAACGGTACTGGTACATTAAAATTTGTAATTTTTGTTTTAGCTAGGGTTGAAATCATATACATTTCATTATTCATAATTGTCTAACCTAACATTAACAAGACAGGACAACAAAAACCTGAAAATATGGTTAAGGTAAGGTAATAGGGTTATGATTGTCATTAGTTGATATTATAATATATCTGTGTTTGGATACATTATCAGTTTTACGAAATGACTGAGCGCATAAATAACACATGGCATAATTGGGTTGCAAATGCCGTAAAACTCTTATAAAAATAAACTAAAAGAAATTTTGTCGATGTTTGTATTGAATGAAGCTCTGTTGTCAGTTCTGGGAGTATATTGGCGCTTCTAGTAGAAGGAGCAACCAATTTTACTCTCTATTTTGGAACAGATTTTAATGAAGGACAAGGGCGGCCGTTGGCTACTATAGCGAGACTAGCGTTTTGCCATTTAGTGGTGCGGCCATTGTGTGCCACAGGCGCAGCGGAGTTTTTTTTTTTTTTTTTTTTTTTTGCAGAGCAAAGAGCGGCGACCATGACAGTGGCTGGTCTAAGATATCATAGTTCAACTTAATGGGTGGCCACAGCAGTGACGGTCTCGGATATTACTATAATCAGAGATGCCAAATCTCAGGTTTTTCAGGCTTTTTCAGGTGTTTTTTTTCAAAAATCATTTGGCATCCCTGAAGAAGAAGGCCACTGACATAAGGTCCTTCTTCTCAAGACAGATATAATATTACTGGAATTGATTAAACAAAGTCCCCATACCTTGCAAAGGAAAGGGGAGAGGTAAGAGAGATGTTTTTGTGTCCTCATTGAAAAACTTTGCAAGGTTTGTTTTAGGTGAGATGTGATGCTCCGCTCATTTTCGTTTTTTTTTTTTCAAAAATCATTTGGAATTGAATCCCTGAACTCTAGTCTATAGAAACCAGTGAGTGCAGGCTGTGTGTATGCGGATGTATCTCTCTTACATGTGCTTGGTATTACAATGTATATATCTATCTGTGCTTGGTACAATTGCGTATCTATCTGTCTATCTATCTGTGCTTTGTGTGTAGGCCTATCTATCTGTGTTTTGTGTATCTATCTTACGTGTTTCTATCTGCGTGCACCTATTTGTTTGTATCTATCTGTGCTGTGTGTATCTACCAGGGTTTCCAGAGCAAAAAAGGAACTGTGTTTGAAAAAAATCTGCACTTTCAAGAGAAAACCAAACACTAGAATTTAATGAAAATTTCATTAAAGTTCAAAATGGATAGCTTCACAAAAGAGGATTAGAGTGTCTGGATTTGGTTCGAGGAAAGAAAATACCATGACAAAAGCTCTACAGGACACTGTTGAGAAAAGAAGTTGTTGGATTTGGTTGAAGAGAGATGACAACAGCCTAGAGGTAGTCCTGGTGCTTTACAGACAGCAAATACATGTGTCGTCAAACTGGCCATGATTGTCAATGTCGTTGTTAAGTTGTAGGTATTAGTCTTCTAACAAAATAACGGCCATGATTGTCAGTGTGTCGCGAGCAGGGGAGGCACTGAGGGATTTTGCGTAGAACTGTGCCTAGCTCAAGTGAGGGCCGCTGGAACATGAGGCTGACGAGAGATGTTTCCGCAAGAAAGAAAAGCGAGTTGTTTTTAGATCCCTCCAACCGATCCGTTTTCTACGACAATATTAGATGACGTCACACAACGACCAGAAACAAGGCCTACGTCTCTACGTTACTGACATCACCAACGACCAGAGACTAGGCTTACGTCTCTACACCAGTGACATCACCAACGACCAGAAACAAGGCCTACGTCTCTACGTTACTGACATCACCAACGACCAGAGACTAGGCTTACGTCTCTACACCAGTGACATCACACAACGACCAGAGACTAGGCTTACGTCTCTACACCAGTGACATCACACAACGACCAGAGACTAGGCTTACGTCTCTACACCAGAGGCTGTCCACTGACGTTAGAGGCTGCTCCAAATCTACAAACTGTACTATGTGCGCGTGGCATCGTGGTGAAATCAGGCGCTCGTCACAATAACGAAATTGAACCAAAAAAAGAAGAAGATAAAACCGACACAATTTCTCCCCTCGTTGGGCAATTGTCTACTTTTTTTGTCGTCTTTTCTTAGGTTGGAGGGGGGAGGAGGGGGCTGTCACCCTTTTTGTCCATTTCAAAACACATTTACGCGTGTATTTTACTGAAAAACGTCGACCAAAGAGACAAGGTTAATTTGCTAGTTTTCAAGGACAGTTAAGTGTTGGGAAAACACCAAACTTTGACAGCCAATTTCTCTCTGATTCCACCTCTGACACTAGGAGATCCCCACCTCCTTAAGACGCAAATATCGAC